AGAGGGAGAAGGAGGAGGAGGAGGAGGAGGAGGAGGAGGAGGAGGGGAAGGGGGAGGAGGAGCAGGAGGACGACGAGGAGGAGCAGGAGGACTAGGAGGAGGAGGAGGAGGAGGAGGAGGAGGAGGAGGAGGAGGAGGAGGAGGAGGAGGAAGAAGATGTTGAGGAGGAGCGAGGAGCGAGGAGGAGGAGGAGGAGGAGGAGGAGGAGGAGGAGGAGGAGGAGCAAGGAGGGGGGCGTCCGAACGGTACTCCTCGCCGATCGTGTGCGTCAGCCCGCAGACCGCGCCGCGGGAGCAGCCTGCTCCCGAAGCAGTGCTTGCACGCCAGGGTGTGAGCGCGTCGCCCGGGGGTCTGAGCGGTGCGAGGGCCCATAAGAACCTCAGCCAGCCCCCCCCCCCCCCTACGAACATCCCCCCCTCCTAACTCGAGCAGTGACGAAGCGTCCTGGCGTGCCTCCTAACAGCCACCCCTCCTAACTCGAGCAGTGACGAAGCGTCCTGGCGTGCCTATGGTCCTCAAGGTTCTTACTTCTCTTCCGAGAGGAACTGGGTCCGGCTGTCGGTCTGGCGGGCTCGTGGCCGCCCGTCGCTGCAGTCCCTGGTTACGATTTTGGACTGGGCGACGCTCGTCTTTTGCACTGCTTTGCAATGCCTGGCGCCACACGGATTGCACCGCACTGATTGCACCATCTACAGGGCAGTCTGTAATACATGGGATTTTTAAACATATTGGATTTTTGATACATGATTGACTTACGAATGAATTTATGCATGAGCCCATCGTTGTTTTTAATACTGAATCCCTTTTTAATACATGATCCGCACGCGGAGCATGTATAGAAAACGGCACTGCAGATTGTGCTGCATCGATTGGAAGATCTTTTTTTGTTCTGGGGTGCACGTTTTTTCCTGGGTTTCTCTTGAATGTGTTGTTTTTGCTCTTCGAACCTCTCGGGGGTGTACTGCCGCCTCACCTCAGACAACACCCCGCCGGTGGCGGCCGTGAAGAGGTCCGGCCACATCACCAGCCGGACGCCGTGGCGCTCGGCGAAGCCGTCGAACTGCTCCTGGCGGTCGGTGGCCACGTAGAGCGCGGAGGCGTTGGCGATGAGCGGCCGCCAGTCCTCTCGGTGGTTCAAGAAGGGGGTCGAAGAACTGGAACCCAAGGATAGGAGGAGGAGGAGGAGGAGGAGGAGGAGGAGGAGGAGGATCCAAGGCTGGATTCACATTATTTGGGCCTCGCCCTTAGGACTCCATCCCTCAGGACCCCATCTTTGAACCGCCGGTCCTCGTAGATCTCCTCTGGCGAGCGCTGCGCCTGGTGCTCCGCAAAATCGCCGAACCTGGTGGGTTGTGTTGCTGTTGGTGGTTTGCCCGTCTGTATGTTTGTGTGTTTGCTTGCCTGTTTGTTTGTTTGCGTGCATGTGTGCGTGTGTGCTTGTTGTTCTTGTTATTGATGAACAATCACTTCTGAAGAACAATTATTGTTGATCCCCCATTCGGTGACCATTGGGCTGTCTCAATTGAAGTGCTCCTCCAACGACTTGCACCCTGTTCTTTATCAGGAAAACTCAGGGGTCGCCAAACTCGGCACTGGTCCCCAGTTTACATCAACAGCGGTCCCTTTTTCCTCACAATTTATTTCAAAATCGCGCTGTCGCGCGGGATTTCCTCACAAATTATGCATGAATCGCGCTTCGCGTGGGGCTCCCTCGCAATTTATGCAGACGCCGCGCCCTCGACGCTCAGGAATCACGCTCTCGCTTTAGCCTTTCTCGCGAATTACTTGGGAATCGGGCTATCGCTCGAGACGTCCTCGCAATTCATGCAGGACTCACGCTTCAACAACCCGCCTGCTCGACCTGGCCGCCTGGGCCCGCCTTCCCGACCCGCCCGCTAGGGTCTGCCCGCCCGATCTGCCTGTCTGGTTCTGCCATGTGTTCTCTGGTCGTGGCCCCTCTCCTGCTCATTTTTCTTGTGCTCCATCCTTCTCCCTCCCCCTTCCATCCGTCCTCTCTTCCCCTGTTTTCGGGGCTGCGCTAAATGCACGTGGCAGGTGGGGAAGGTATACCCCCAAAGGGGTACGATCGAAGACGGAGGGGGGGGGTACCAATGCTTTAGGATCTACGTGTTGAGTGTCACGCGAGCAGATAGGAGCGGACAGTCAATCTTTCGTGCTGCTTCTTTCGTGCTTTCTGGCAGCCGAGTGCCACGATCTTGCGTCGTGCAGCAAGGCGGTCTCGGGTTGGCCCAAGGCGCGCAGGTGAGACTCGAGAGGTGGTGGGCAGGGGGCCACACCTGGCGTGGAAGGCCACGTAGTCGAAGAGCCCCAAGTGGTGCACCGCCTCCGCGGCGATGCGGAAGGCGTCCGGGTGCCACACGAAGCCGTGGCGCAGCAGCCCCCAGTCCGCCTCCACCAGCTCCGGGCGCAGCTCGTCGCGCGGGCCGCCCCGCAGCCACCACTGGCCCAGCTTGAACCCGTCCCGCCGCCTGCCGTCCAT